TCCTGAGCAGAAGTCAAGCCAGCGGCCTGGTCTGGGGAACTTGGCGAGAAAAGGGGATGTGGCTGGAGGTGAGGCAGGGCCAGCTCAAGGTCAGCAGAGCCTGTGTCACCATCTCATGACTGTCACCCCCACAGCAGGCCTCACTCTGACCAAAAAGAATGATCCGGCATTTCTGAGCGTCTGCCAGTGACGGCTTCTGCCTGAGGCGGTGGGAGCCTCAGGGACGCTTGGACACCGGATCCCAGGCCCTGGGGAACGTGCTGGAAAGACGTGTGGCCAGCAGCCCAGGAGGGCCTGGCGGGAGGGGCTGGCTCGGCCGCGTGGACAGACACACAGGACAGAGCGGGGTCAGAGCCTCTTTATTGGCGGGCCGCGCCGGGCCGTCACCGGTACAGGTAGTCGGCCTGGATGTTGGCGGAGATCTCGGCCTCCCACTTGTCCCCGTTGTTCAGCAGCTTCTCCTTGTTGTACAGCAGCTCCTCGTGCGTCTCCGTGGAGAACTCAAAGTTGGGGCCCTGCGGGTGGGGGTGCAGGCGGCCGTCAGGCCTCTCCAAGGAGCTCCTCCCCCCCTCGCCCCCGGGGCCCACTCACCTCGACAATGGCGTCCACGGGGCAGGCCTCCTGGCAGAAGCCGCAGTAGATGCACTTGGTCATGTCGATGTCGTAGCGCGTGGTTCGGCGGCTGCCGTCGGCGCGCGGCTCCGCCTCGATGGTGATGGCCTGGGGGGCGGCTCAGGGTGCGGTCACCTGCCAGGCTCCCCGCTCGGAGCACAGGGTGCCCCTCACTGCCCATCCACCCGTCTGCACAGCCGGGCCCGCTGGGCACTCATCCCCTGGGGCCTGCAGAGCAGACCCTCTGCCATCCCCTCAGCCAAGGCCGCCCTCCTGACCCAGCAGCCACGCCGCGTCCGCGTCGGCTTCTCCTTAGCATCTCCCCCCGATGGCATTCTTCCTGTTTGTCCCGGAGGGAGGCTGTCACTTGCCGTTCCGGCAGCTCCTGGTGTGTGCGGAACCGCCCTCCCCCTCACCCCTGCCTCCCCACCCATCGGCCAGACACAGGCTCAGCAGGCTGCGGGGCTTCCCTAAGCCACACAGAGGCGAGGGGCAGAGCCAGACTCGAAGGCCAGTCCTTAACTCTGTTCCTGGGCACAGCCTGTGCCAACCCCCGTCAGGAGGGTCTTCAAAGCAGGGTGGCAAAGCCCCCACAGGCCCAGCACTCACAGAGGGACCTTGGCTGGTCGCCTCATCTATGAAAAGGGAACAGCCCTGGCCGGTGCGGCCCAGCTGGTTGGGCCAAAAAGGCACCGGTCTGGCTCCATCCTCAGGAGGCGATGTGGAGGGGGCGGCCTGTTGAGGTTTCTCTCTCCCCTCCCCGCTCTAAAAACCCATACAAACGTATTTAAAAACAGGGATCCCGATCTCTTTCCGGAGTTACTATAAGAACCTGGCAGAGCCTGGCTTGCGGGCGGCACGGGCTGCCTGGAGCTTCATGCTGTCGCGTGTTGGTGGCTGGACTGAAGGCCCGAGGCCCCAGCCTGGGGCCCGGAGCCAGGGAGCGGCCAGGAGACGTGCCTGGCTCAGAGGGAGCCTCCTGGGTCTCGGACACGGGGTCCTGGAGCAGCCCCCGTGCGGGGTCGCTGGGCCTGCGGGCTCCTGCTGGCATGCCGAGGGTCTGTCTGCCGACGGGCCTCTGATTCTACCCAGCCAGGCCAGGGACCCTCCGACCGAACCAAACACGGGGGCTCGGGGGCAGTGACAGCCTCCACTGGTTTGCGTGTCCTCGGGGCTGGCCCTGTGACAGGCACAGGCAGGGCTCCGGAAGCGGCTGCTGTGCCCGGGGAATGGACCCTCGGTGCCACCCTGCGGCCACAGGCCCGGTGCCACGGCCCTGACCGGGCCTCCGGGCAGCACCCTGTGCCATGCGGGCTGCTCAGGGTGGGAAGCTTACCCGCTGACTCAGTGACCACGGACTCTGAGCCGGTTCCCATTCACAGGGGGACGTGGCTCAGAGAGGGGGAGGGCGTTACTGGAGACACACTGGCCGTGCCAGTTCCCAGCCTCCCTCTCAGCAGCAGGCTCCCCCCCCCCCGGCAGGGCCGGGCGGCGCGGGCGGCGCCGGCGGCCGGCTCACCTGGGCCGGGCACACGGCCTCGCAGAGCTTGCAGGCGATGCAGCGTTCCTCCCCAGACGGGTAGCGGCGCAGGGCGTGCTCCCCGCGGAAGCGCGGGCTCAGCGGGCCCTTCTCGAACGGGTAGTTGATGGTGGCCGGCTCCCGGAAGAGGTAGCTCAGGGTCATGCCCAGGCCTGTGGGATCAGAGGCAGGGCTGGTGAGGCCTCACCGCTGGTCACTGGGTCCCACGCCAGCCCGCCCGGCCCTCCCGCAGGGCCCACCTCGGATGAGCTCAGTCCACAGGAGGGTTTGAGCCGCCCGGTCGGTCACTGACTTCATGTCCATCGGGGGCTCCCGCAGGTTCACGTACTCTGCGGGGCAGACGGGCAGCTCAGGGAGGAGAGGCCGCGCCCTCTGCAGGCACAGCCGCCCCTGCGCTGTTCATGCGCCAAAGCTTCCCGAACCGGCCTGGGCCCTGGGACTGTGCGGCCCTGAGCCAGGAGGTGAGGCCTGGGAGAGGCTTAGGGTTCGGGGTCCTGAGGAGGCGGCATGGGCGCCCAGAGCTCACACCGGGCAGCCCTCTCCCGCCCCCACGGGGGAGCTGAGATCACACTGTGGCCGAGGGACGGCCCCACCCCTGCGATGAGACTGTCCCCGTGGGTCATACAGTCCGGACCCTCCTCCCACTGTACGGAGAGGAAACGGAGCTCCGGGCGGGCAGACATGGCACAGCCGGCCTCGCCCCTGCCTGTGGCAGGCGACGCCCCGCGACTCACTGTAGGTGGCGGCCACGGCGCTGCTGTGGAGGCTCCGGGTGCTGGGAGGCCCTGCAAGGAGAGGGCCGAGCTGTGCAGCTGCCGCCTCAGGCCAGGCCCGGCTCCCGCGCCCAGGGCGGCCCTCCCCTCCGTCCTACCTGCACGAAGGGCCCGGGCCAGGGCCCGGAGCGCGGCAGGCGTGGGCAGGCAGTGCATCTGCAGGTGTGAGAGGGAGGGAGGGAGGGGCGATGGGTCCCGGACCCGGCCCCCCAGAAACTCAGGCTCTGCAGGAGACCTACCCTTGGGCCCAGGGCCACGGTGTCATCCGGTCTCCTACTTAACCCCATTCCTGCCGGAGGCACAGACGGCCTTGCTGTCCCAGCCCGCCAACATGACAGCTCAGCGTGCGAGGGCCCGAGTTCCATCTTCTCACCTTCTGAGAAATCTTTCCAATCCACCTCTCCTCCCTCCCCCGCCAGTGCTCCTGTTCATCCTCCCACGCAGACCCCATCGACACCGCCAGTGGCCGCCTGTGGCGATGGCGAGGTCCCTGCACCAGCGCCCGGTGCGAGGGGCCACGCTCAGCTGTCCGGTCCTTACCAGGACCCCCCGGGAGGCACGGTGAGCAGCCGCAGCTCGGTGGTGGTGACTCGCCCAAAGTCAGGCTCCGGGAGGTTGGGACCAGGACCGGATCCAGCAGAGCCCTCCCTTCCCACCCCCAGCCCGGCCCTGCTGGAAACCGAGGCTTAAATAACCCTCAAGATCGAACTCCTCTCCCAGCACCAGGCCCTTCTGGAGCTGTCCACCAGACTGTCCAGTGACCCTGGGCGGGCGGGTCACCTGGCCTGTCTCCCCGATGGGAAGTGGGGGGACCGTAAGAACGAAGGGGGTTCCTACAAGCCCGGGGTGCAGCCCAGAGCAGGGCACTTCGCGGGACCTCACGACGGCCCCTCCCGTGACCTGTGACTTCTAACGGGTCCATTTCTTTCGACCACTGACTTCAGTTTAAGGCACCAACCCATCTCCTTCGACCTTCCCCATGACATGACCTCTGACCCCAAGGACGCCGCGGCGCATGCGCCCCGAGGACGCCGACTTCCAGGTCCCGCCGTTGCACGCTCAAGGGCACGGGGACGGAGGGGTCTCCGCGCGCCGAGAGGAGGCCCCGGGGCAGAGCCAGCAAGACCAGCGGAGGCGCCACCCTCGCTCCCGACGCCGCGCTGCCCAAGCCCGGCCTCAGCGGCGGAGCCCAGACACCCACCTTGAAGCGTTGCCACTCCTTCCCCTACCGAGCGGCCTGCTCTCCGAGAGGCGGAGCCTCACACCCTTGGGCGCTGCCATTGGGCCGGCTGGTTTCGCCTCTCCGCGCTGACTCTTCACGGTGTGCTCTGATTGGCCAGTATCGCAACCGAAGAGGCGGGACGTAGAAATACCTTTCCTCTGATTGGCTACGGGAGAGCAGGCGCTCGAAGTTATGTGTAGCGCCGCCATGTTCTATCGGAGAGGCCAATCAGCGAGGACCCGGGGGCCTGGGGGCGGGACATCCGGGGCGTGGCGTGGGGCGGTTCCGGCCGGCCGCCGCGGGGCGTGTGGTAAATGCGGTGAGGAGCGCCGGCGGCGGTCTGTGCGGGGCCTGACGGAGGCCTGGGGCGGTCATTGTCCGTTCCCCACGGGGCACTGAGGCCGGACCTGTGCCCTGGGTCCGCGCCCTGGGCCCGCCAAGTGCGGCTCCCCGCACCGAGTCCTCGACGTGACCCGGGAGCCCGACCCTCACCCGCCGCCAACCGTGTTTCCTCGGCGGCGTGTGCGGCGGACGACCGGAGGCGGGGCTCGGAGGCGGGGCTCGGAGGCGGGGCTCGGAGGCGGGGCTCGGAGGCGGGGCTCGGAGGCGGGCTCGGAGGCGGCCTGAGCCGCTGTGCCCGGGGCGGGGACGGGGTGGAGGCGGTGCTGTCAGGCCGAGTGCGGTGGGAGCGGAGCGGGCCCACCCGTGTGTGCGGAGCTCCCCGGAAGGACGTGGCCACGGGCGTGAGCGGGGCGCGGGGCCCGGCGGGGCCTCCGGCCGGGTCGGCAGGGCTGCGGGCCCCGGGCCGCAGGCAGGCTCCTGGCGCTCTGGGGGGAGCAGCGGGGCCGGGCAGAGGCGGGCGAGGGGTGGCCCTGGGCGCCGTGGTTCGTGCGTGGATCCGGGCAGCTGTGGGGTCAGCACCCTCGGGGCTCGCTGAGAGGCGGGGCTTGGGTCAGGTGACCGGGCGTCCCGCTTTGGGCGGGACAGCCCGGTTTTAAAAAATATATATATTTTATTGATTTTTCACAGAGAGGAAGAGAGAGGGATAGAGTGTTAGAAACATCAATGAGAGAATCATCAACCAGCTGCCTCCCGCACACCCCCCACCGGGGATGTGCCCGCAACCAAGACACATGCCCTTGACCGGAATCGAACCCGGGACCTTTCAGTCCGCAGGCCGACGCTCTATCGACTGAGCCAAACAGGTTTCGGCAAGTCCCGATTCTTAACAATTTGTCCCTCGGCATTTAAAAAAAGTCCCGATTTAAAACGCCGCGGGACAAATTATTAAAAATCAGGGCTTCATCGGGACTTTAAAACAGCGCAGGACAAATGGTTGAAAATCGGGACGTCTGGTCACCTCAGGCTCGGGAGATGAAGGGGGAGGGGTGCCGAGCGGGCGGTATGGGGGACCAGTGCACGGCATCCGGCCCAGGAGGGTGAGCAGGGCGGAGCGGGTGAGCCCAGTGTGGGACGTGGTGCGTGGAGGAGCCTGAGCTGAAGGGAAGGGAGAGTCCCCGCAGGCGGCTCACCTGAGCTGGAGCCGGAGGCGGAGGCGGGAGGGAAGACCAGGACACGGGGTGTCTGGAGCTCGGGGCCCGCAGCTCCTGTTTATTAAGCTCCCAGATGCCACCTCACAGCCCTCTGAGATACTGTTATTCACTCCGCTGTGCAGACGGAGCAGCTCAGGCCCGAGCCCCTCGGCACCCTCCCCGGGAGGGCGTGGCTCACGGGTGCCTATGTCTGCCCTCCCCCGGGACGCAGGCGCCTGGCATTGAGGTTCCCATCCTAGTGGGGGCGGCTGAGGAGGAGGCTGAGGGCCGGAAGATGGGAGGCCGAGCCCGGGCTGGGCTGGGGCCCTGGCAGGTCTTCTCATCCTTGTGCCCCGGACTCGAGGCCACATCTCCACCCCCCAGGACACAGGCGGCCTCTGGCGCGGCAGGAGGGACGGACCCGGTGCCCGCGGCGGGCTCAGAGCAGGGTACAGCTGCAGCCCCGGGTCTCCATGGCCAGCAGCAGCACCCTCAGGCTGCGCGGCGAGTAGGGCGGGTAGCGGACGGAGTACATCTTCTCCAGCCCGGGTCTGCGCAGCAGGCAGGCGCGGTGGTGGGAGAAGGTGTCGAAGGAGAACTTGCCGTGGTAGCTGCCCATGCCGCTGGCCCCTGGATAGGGAGGGCACAGAGCGTGGCAGTCAGGCCTCGGTGGCCGGCTGAGGCGACACAGGTGGGCTCTGCCAGTCACTCGGTGCCCCCTGGGCGGCTGCTTCACCCCTCGAGCCTTGGTCTCCCATCTGGAAAGCGGGCTGGCTCATCGTGAGACTGGGTAAAGGGCTCAGCCCCGAGCTTGGCACCAGCTCAGCACGCGTTGGAGACGCCAGGTGTTTGACCTGTGGCGTTAGGACCTGGCAGAGCTCAGTGCGGCCGGGCAGGAAGGGCTGCCTCTGGAAGCTGCCAGGCCCTCGGTGGCCAGCAGGGGCCTGGCAGCCGGGGGAGGTTTTCGTGGGAGTCGTAGGATCAGATTCCCTCCCAGACAGACCCCACTCATGTCATGCAGAGGCAGGTCTGGACGGTTCTGGGGCCACCCGTCCGGTGAGGTAAGAGTGCAGGGCCCTGCCACACCTACCCACTCCTCCGAAAGGCAGGCTGGCCAGGATCAGGTGCATGAAGCCGTCGTTGCCACAGAAGCCCCCGCTGCTGGTCCGCGCCAGCACCTGCTTCACCACCTGGAACAAGCAGCCAGGAGCCGAGTGGCTGGGCCGCCCCCACCCCGCCCCGGGGCTCTGTCCGGCCCGTGAGGGCCCCAGGAAGGGTCCGGGGCCCCTCTGTGACCCCAAGGGGTGGGACCAGTGGAGGGCACGGTTCCGCAGCCTGCACCAAACTCCCCACGCGGCATGTCTCCGAGCCTCTGGCGGGAAGGTGCGGGGGACATGCCGAGTGCAGGGGAGGTGCCCAGAGAGGGATGTGGTGCCTGGGTGTCTCGGGGGCAGAGCGAGAAAGGGCCCCCAGGCGTGCAGGGCAGGTAGGAGGCTGAGGAGCAGGGAAGTGTGGCACAGGGAGGTCAGACAGTCATGAGATGAGTGGGTATTTAGAACATGAACTTGGCCTTCGCTTGCTTTAGGAGGCCCTCTCCTCTCCGCTCTGCAGGTTTACTTGAAGAATGAGAGGGAAAGGTGAGTAGTCACTTATTGTCATTAAAATCTGTCCCAGGGTGTGACCCCCAGATGACACTGGGTCAGCGCTCGTCAGTGGTGGCAGTGGACCCCCATCAAGGGGCTCAGCGGCCAGTTGAGACCAGCAGTCATGACCACAGGGGTGGAGGGGGGATGGCGGTCTTCGGGAGGAGTAGGAATAAGTCTGGGAGAGTCCAGTGCCTTACGGGTCCCTGCATCCTGGGACCAGGCCTGGGCAGTCAGAAGCTTGAAAGCCTCTCTGCCAGGTGACCCCCATTCCAAAAACCCCATGTGGCTCTTATGTGAACATGACCCTGGTGAGCCCGGGTCCCGGAGGAGCGGCTGGCTGTAGGCTGGTGGAGAGGAGGTGAGCCGGAGCCCCTTGTAGGCCCAGGGAGGAAGGAGGTGGAGAAAAGCAGGATGGGCGGGCTCCCGTGAAGCAGGGAGACAGGCCAAGGAGCTGGGACAAGGACACACACCGAGGACCCGGCTCGGATCCCGGGGCAGAAAGAAAAACTGGCAAATCGGAACTGAGTGTGGAGTCCAGTGACTGTGCTGCGCCAACGTCCGCCCCTGACCAATGTCAGGGCCCTTCCCCGGGGGTTGGGGTGTGGTCTATGGTCCCTGGGCCATCTGTAACGTTCCTGTAAGTCTAGTTATTCCCAAATAAAAAGCTCATTTTAAAAAGTGTTGTCGAGTCTGCAGGGTCTCGTGAGAGCTGGCTGAGGAGGGAGGTGTGCTCTGAGCTGCAGGTGCTGCCCTGAGGCGCGGGGCTGCCCCAGGGGCTTAGCAAAGCTGAGGCGGCAGGTGAGGGGCCAGGAGTGGGACCAGGGCCCATCCTTGGCCTGTGTGTTCTGGTCCTTCACCCTCCTCACTCCTGCCCATGTGTGTGCCTTCATGAGCTGGGCACTGAGAAGGGACACTAGCCACCAGGTGGAGGAGGGCTGGCTGAGGGGGCCATGGCTGCTCCCGAGAGAAAGGGCAGAGACAACCAAGATTGCCGCCCACCAGCAACTCCGGTGACTGCCCAGAGGGCCAGCACCCCTTCCCTCCAGGTCCCTTGGTCACTGCGGGCCCCTGCCCCACCTGTCCAGCCCTGCCCGGCCCACCTGGCTGCGCCGGGAGAAGGCGTACAGCGCCAGCGGCTTCTCCCGGCGGTTGATGAAGTCCACGGCCTCGTCCAAGCTGCTCACGGTCACGATGGGCAGGATGGGCCCGAAGATCTCCTCCTGCATCACCGGCTCCGTCTCCTGCACGTCCACCAGCACCGTGGGGGCTGCGGGCACGGGGGGCTCAGCCCGGGCACAGGGGGCTCAGCCCGGGCACAGGGGGCGGCTCAACCCGGGCACAGGGGGTTCAGCCCGGGCACAGGGGGCGGCTCAGCCCGGGCACAGGGGGCGGCTCAGCCCGGGCACAGGGGGGGCTCAGCCCGGGCACAGGGGGGGCTCAGCCCGGGCACAGGGGGCTCAGCCCGGGCACAGGGGGCTCAGCCCGGACACAGGGGGCTCAGCCCGGACACGGGGCTCAGCCCGGGCACAGGGGGCGGCTCAGCCCGGGCACAGGGGGCTCAGCCCGGGCACAGGGGGGGCTCAGCCCGGGCACAGGGGGCGGCTCAGCCCGGGCACAGGGGGCGGCTCAGCCCGGGCACAGGGGGCGGCTCAGCCCGGGCACAGGGGGCTCAGCCTGGGCACAGGGGGCTCAGCCCGGGCACAGGGGGCGGCTCAGCCCGGGCACAGGGGGCTCAGCCCGGGCACAGGGGGCGGCTCAGCCCGGGCACGGGGCGGCTCAGCCCGGACACAGGGGGCTCAGCCCGGACACAGGGGGCTCAGCCCGGACACAGGGGGCTCAGCCTGGGCACAGGGGGCGGCTCAGCCCGGGCACAGGGGGCGGCTCAGCCCGGGCACAGGGGGCTCAGCCCGGGCACAGGGGGCGGCTCAGCCCGGACACAGGGGGCTCAGCCCGGGCACAGGGGGCGGCTCAGCCCGGGCACAGGGGGCGGCTCAGCCCGGGCACAGGGGGCGGCTCAGCCCGGGCACAGGGGGCGGCTCAGCCCGGGCACAGGGGGCTCAGCCCGGGCACAGGGGCGGCTCGGCTCCGGCTCGGGGTGTTCTAGGGGAGAGTCTCCCCACGGCCCTGAGTGGGGACCGGGAACCGGGCCCAGAGCGGTCTTACGGTCTCAGGGGGACTGGGTCTCAGCCCTGGAGCCCGAGGGCCCAGGCCCAGCCTGCTGGAGCAGCTGCGTCACCACGGAGCCGTGTGGCCCAGAGGCCGGGCCGCTCTGTAAGGACAGCCCGGCGGGTGCCCAGGCGGGAACCGCGGGCTCTCAGGAGCCCGGGGCTGAGGCTGGGGGTCTGCGTTTGTGAGCCTGGACCTGGGCCCAGCTCTGGGCGGGGTCGCGGGGTCACAGGCTCAGACCACGGCGACACGTGGCATTCGTGTCCGGGGGTCGTGGCGACAGCCGTGGACCTGGCTGGGCTCCATCCGTGGGGCCCTGGGAACCTCAGGGCCCGGACTCGGCCCCGCTGTGGCTCCAGCAGGAAGGGCCTCGCCCGGGGCCGGGCGGGAGGGCGGACTCACCGATGTAGCGGTCGCTCTCCTCGCTCTGGCCCCCGACGGCCACGCGGCCGCAGCCCAGCAGGCCCCGGAGCCGCTGGAAGTGCTTGTCGCTGATGATGCGGCCCAGGTCCGGGGAGGCCCTGGGGTCCTCGCCGTAGAAGCGGGTGATGGCGGCCTGCAGGGCGGGCACCAGCCGCTCCTGCATGGCGGGGCTGCACAGCACGTAGTCGGGGGCCACGCAGGTCTGGCCGGCGTTGAAGTAGCGGAACAGGGCCACGCGGTTGGCCACGGTCTGGGGGTCGCAGTCGTCGTCCACGTAGCAGGGGTTCTTGCCCCCCAGCTCCAGCGTGACGGGCGTCAGGTGCTGGGCGGCCGCGGCCATGACGATCTTGCCGACTCGAGTGCTCCCTGTGCGTGAAAGAAACCCCGAGGGTCCCTCATTCGCCTGGACTGGTGGGACGGCCTCGGTTTGGGGACTGGGATCCCTCAAGGGGGTTCACTCCCCGCCCTGTGTCTCCCTGGACAGGGGGTTGAGTCCGGGAGCTGCCAGGCCTCATTGGCTTTCCCCTGCCAATCACTGCACTAGCAGGACCCTCTGCAATGCCCCGCCCCCCGCCCTTCCTGCTTCTGATTTCTGACCCTCCCCTGCAGGTGTCCACACGTTGCCCTGCACTCCTCACCACTTCACGCTCCTCTAGACCCCCCAGCCCCCCTTAGCTGGTTTGGCTCAGTGGATAGAGCGTGGGCCTGCGGACTGAAGGGTCCTGGGTTCAATTCCGGTCAGGGGCACATGCCCAGATAGCGGATGTGGGCTTGATCCCCAGTAGAGGGCATGCAGGAGGCAGCCGATCAGTGATTCTTATCATTGATGTTTCTATCTCTCTCTCCCTCTCCCCGCCTCTCTGAAATCAATAAAAATACATCCTAAAACAAAACAAACACCCCCCTCCAACCCTTGGCAACTCCTATCCAGCTGCAGCCGCGGACATTCGGTCTCTCCTCTCCCTGAGCCGCCTGGCAGCCTTGCCCCCTCTGCACCCGCTCCTCCCTCCCCTCCTGGCTGGTCCCACCTGCTCCTCTGGGTGATCTCCTGGGTCTCACGGGTCCTCCTCTCAGCCACCCCCGACCCTACCCCCACCCACCCCAGTCCTGGGCCTCTCCTGCCCACACTGGCCCGGGTCAGCCACTGTTCTGCTGCTGCTCCCTCACAGGCTCCTCCTCCGCTCCTCCAGCCTCTGCAAACATCTCCCTGTCTGAGGACTCCTACCCCCCACACCTCCCCTTGTTGAATTCCACTGAAGCCCCCCCACCGGTGCCCGTGGGAGCCTGGCGCGGGCGGCTCTGAGGAGACTCCCTCTGATGGAGGAAATGCCGCTGCTTCCCAGCCACGCGGTACGACCAGGGCCCGTGTGTCCTCTAGACGGGCCGGTGTGCGGATGGCTCAGTCTACCGTGAGACCACCACGGCCTGGCGGGTGGGCGTGGCGGCCGTAGGCCTCTGTGCCGGCCGCCCCGGGACCCGGCCTGGAGCCAGCCTCGGTCTGCCTGCCTCTGTACCCTCCGTCCTGGGGGCCAGCGCCCGAAGCCGGTCCCGCTGTGTGGCGTGATGGTGGAGGTTGGATTGGCACCCTCCCGGCTGCCTCTCTGTACCTCCCACCCCCCCCAAAATCGGCAGGAACAGCTGAGCCCCTGGCCCCTCTGCTTCCATAGGCCAACCCTGGCCGGTGGGTGATCCAGGCTGGACACCGAATCCAGAGGTCTGTGCCAGGGGAGGAGGGGGGCCCGGGTCCAGCGCTGCTCCCAGCCTCCTCCGGGCACCGCGGGGCACTTCCCCTCTGAGTTCTGGCTGCCCCTCTGCCTTGGCACTGAGGCCTCTCTCAGGGTTGGGGACAAGACCCCTCCAGGTGGGGCTGGTGCAGGCCCCCCTCCTCCCGCTCCGGCCGCCCGCAGCAGGCCGCTCACCCGTGAAGAAGATGTAGTCGAACTTGTGCTCCAGCAGCTGCCCCGTCTCCTCGGGCCCGCCCAGCACCACGGCAAAGCAGCTCTGCGGGGACAGGCAGAGGGCGCCCTGGGACCCAGCCCGGCCTGTCCCCTCGGCCTGGCCTGGCCCGGGACTGCAGGCTCTCGGGCTTCATGGGGTGAAGTGGGGAGAGGGCCTGGGGCCCGGCGGGGCTGGTGAGAAGGCTGAGGCCACAGTTGGGGCACAGGGACCCCCAGGAGACAGGCTAACCAGAGCACTGCCATGGCCGCCACCCCTCTGTGTTACTAGGAGGGAAACTGAGGCTGAGAGGAGTGGTGACTTGGCCAGGGCCACTCGACCCACAGGAGGCAGGCGTGAGTTGGAACTGGGTGCGGCCCAGCCCTGGGGCCGCCCGCTCTGCTCACCCGGTCCAGGTAGCGGGGCAGCATCTCGACCAGGATCTTCTCGGTGTTCTTGCTCACCTCCGAGGGCTTCAGCATCACGCAGTTCCCTGCGGGCAGGCAGGGCAGGGTGGGCAGAGCTGGGCCAGGGGACCGTGCAGGCCTCTCACCTGCAGGCCAGGTCGGCCTCACTGCCCTCTGGTGAGGAATCTGGCTCAGAGAGGCGACCAGCAGGCCCAAGGTCAGCAGCCCGGAGGGGGGGAGCCAGATGCCAGCTGTACTAACTTAGCCACCCAGTGCCACCGCTCCCCCGGGCTCCGCGGGCCCCGTGAGGCCCTGAGGGAGGGGCCGGGGGGAGGTCGAGGCTGGGTGCTCACCTGCCGCGATGGCGCCCACCAGGGGCACCAGGATCAAGTTCAGGGGGTAGTTCCAGGGGGCGATGATGAGCACCACACCGAAGGGCTCCTTCCGGACGAAGGCCGAGTCCAGCTGGGTGGCCTGTGCCGGGCCGGCGTGGTGGTGAGGGATGAGGTCTGAGGCTCCAGCCCCTCGGCACCACCCTTCGCCCCAGGGGCGGCCCAGTGGATAGCCCCCCACGTGTCTCACCAGGTTCCTGGGCACCTTCTCATCCTTCATCCAGGCTCGCAGGTTCCTGAGGGCCAAGTTAATCTCGGCGTGGCTGATGCTGAGCTCCGACAACTCCGCCTCAAAGGCTGACTGGGGGGAGGGGGGGGTCAGCTCGTGGCCAGAGGCCTGGGGCGGGCACAGCCTCCTCTGAGCACAGCCTGCGTTTGTTCCCTCACACACACACACCCGAGGTCAGTGAGCGCTCAGTGTCCGGGGCTGTGCTGGAGCCAGGGATGCGGCTGCGGACGCAACAGAAAACCTGCCCCTGGACCCACCTGGACACCGTGATTTTGGAAGAGCAGGCTGTTAGTTTGTTTTTTATTTAAATTCTTGATTGTTTAAAGTCTTACATTTGTCTCCCCCTTCTCCCCCCATTGACCTCTCGCCGAGAGTAGGCTGTGTCGGGCCAGGGCTGTGTCCTCTGTGCCTGCTTAGGGGTGACTGAGGGAAGGCCCTTTGGGGTTAGCTGAGAGGATTCGTGCAGAACAGGGCGGGGCAGGTTTGGGGACAGAACTTGCACCGAAACCGGTTTGGCTCAGTGGATAGAGCATCAGCCTGCGGACTGAAAGGTCCCAGGTTCAATTCCGGTCAAGGGCATGCATCTTGGTTGCGGGCACATCCCCAGTAGGGGGTGTGCAAGAGGCAGCTGATTGATGATTCTCTCTCATTGATGTTTCTAACTCTCTATCCCTCTCTCTTCCTCTCTGTAAAAAAATCAATAAAATATATTTTAAAAAAGAACTTGCAAGACCAGAGGGAGGGGCCACGTGAGTGTTCTGGCCACCGCTCCCTCTGTGGGCCGGGCTCCCGGGGCCTCGAGGAGCCGGGATGGGAGAGGGGCCAGACAGACAGCAGCTCAGGCCTCCGCTCCGCGGCAGGGCAGCCGGCCAGCCCTGGGCGGTGGCAGAGGCTCCGTGGCGGTACCCCCGCCCCCCACCACGCCCGGGGAATGGGACCGTCCCCACAGGGAGGCTGGGCCAGCCCCTGGAGACGGGGAGAGCAGAGGAGAGCACGGACGGGAGCCCTGGTTTCATAACAGATCATTCCAGAAAGGGCGATGGGGGTGCCTGGGTGTCACGTGGCTACGGCACTGGTAAGGAGGTTTGCCGACTCCGAGAAGGGAGCAGTCTTAGCAGGAGCCACCCTCTCAGACAAGCCTTCCTGGCCAGCGTCTGCTCTCCCTGTGGACGGGGACCCCATCCACCACCCCAGGCGCTCCGAGGCACTCGGCTAGAAGTCTGTGGCTGCTCCGGGGACAGGCAGGCACCTGGCTGAGTGTCTGGGAAGCGGGCAGAGGGACCCCTGGCCCTGCTGGCACCGGGCATCGTGTCTCTCTGTGACCTGAGTGGAGCAGCTGCCCGCTGGGAAAGTGGGGGAGGAGGAAGGGGAGGGCAGGGGCTGGTGGACCTGAGGGTGGGAGGCAGGCCCAGAGCAGCCAGGGCTGGACCCCAGGGGCAAGGCAGAGTCCCGTGTGTGGGCTCAGGAGGCCCCAGGCCCTTCCTTGGACATCCTCGGGTTTAGAACTAAGACAAGACAAGCTCAGGACAAGCCAACACGGGACTGCCGTCCCCCGGGGACAGGAGGTGACCACCGGGCGGGTGGGCAGCCAACAAGCACCCAGCACTGAGGTCCCCTCCCGGGCGTGAGGATCAAACACCACTTCCTCTCGCTGGTTGACAAGGAGCCTCGGGCTGGCTCTGCGGGCTCGGGTGGTGAGGGGCCCGTGGGACGAACGGGGAGGGTCTGGACACTGTGGCCTTTGCAATGTGCACAGGGACATTTTTCCAAAGGACCCGCTGAACAGCTGTCCCAGGCAGCTCAGCAGTGGGCCTGCCAGCTGAGGAGGGCTGCCTGCCAGAAAGGGTGTTTCTGGGAGTCCGGCCACGGCTCCTGCTGGAATCCGGAGGGGCCGAGCCCCCAGGCCTCAGGGTGTGGGCCCTGTACCAGGTGAAGCCCATGGGGTCCTGCGTGTGAGGCCCACACCCCCGGGCCCCACCTCCTGTGCAGCTCTGCTGGCCTCCTTGCTGCTCCTCAAGCATCAACACCCCAGCACCTCGGGCCTCAGGGCCTTTGCACATGCTGTGCCTGCTGGGACCCTTCCCCTCCTCCTCTGTCTCTGCTCAGACGCCGTCTCCTCAGAGAAATCCTCCCTGACCCCCAGGATAAAGCAGCTCCTGATCCCCGCCCTCTCCCTCCCTTCACACTAGGTAGGCCGGCACCACGCTGTGTGGTTATCTATTTGCCGTCATGTTTGGGCAGGAGGCCAGCTTGCTGGGCCCAGGGACTGTGTCACTCTGTTTGCATCTCTAGATCCCAGAACAGTCCCCTCTCATAGCCGGTGCTCAGTCAGTACCGAGTGGAAGAGGCTGAGTGAATGGGTGAAGGGAGAGGACGGTTAGGGGCCGCAGAGGGCGGAGTCGGATGGGCTCTGACTTCCGCTTCATAGAGGATGAGGCTGTCCCCAGGCTCCTTGTCCCCGCCCCCGCCCCGCCCCGCCCCGCCCCGCCCCGCCCCGCCCCGCCCCGCCCTCACCTTGCGCAGGTCCTGCAGCAGCGCCTCCTGCAGCTGCTGCTTGTGCTCCCGCAGGAAGCGGTCCAGGCCCTTGAGCTGCGCCGCCCGGAACTCCGCTGACCGCGTGCGCCCCTCGCGGAAGGCCTCCCGCAGCCGCTGCAGCGTGTCCTCGAAGGGGTCCATCCTGGGAGGCAGCGGAGCGCGTGGGCAGGAGTCCCCGCCTTCTGGGCACCTGCCCCACCCCCTCCTGCACCCATGTGGGCTCACAGACACCCTCACTGCACTGTGTGACCCGAGGGCCAGGGCTGGCCCTGCTCACGCACACACACACACCCCCACACCGCACACACACACACACACTGCACACACACACATATACACTCTCACACACGCACACTCTCACACACGCACACACACACATATACACACACACACACGCACACTCACACACACACACGCACACGCACACACACACCAATCAGTGCACAGACAGCTCCCCTTGGCCAGTGGACGGGAGCCTGGGCCGTGCGGACGGGTGTGGGCTTGGGGACAGCTACTCCACAGCCCTGGAGGGTGGGCAGGCAGCCAGGGACCCAACAGAAATCAGCCCCGAGCCAGGGCCCCGCCCCGTCCAGCGCCCTCCTGGAGACGGACTGCCCTCGCCTGCCAGGCCTGGAGTGGCCAGGAGGGGTCTGAGAGGGACAGGCCACCAACCGCCACCACCACCACCACGTGGGAACATTCCAGACACAGAACACTGTTCCCCGCCCCCGCCCCCAGCGGGGGGCATTGCTGGGGGGTGGGGGGGCAGTGGCTCCGAGGGTGACAGAGCAGGGGCCTCCTCTCCCCGTTCCCAAAGAGAGAGGGCAGAGCGGCCTCCCAGAGGCCAGCCGCTGAGCGGGAGGAGCCCGGGAGCGGTGGGGACAGGGGGGAAGGGCAGACCTCGGCAGGCTGGCAGGTGGGGCAGAGGCCCCGATGTTCCCCCGGGCCCCACCCATTTGCTTGACAGAGGAGTGCCCTGCCGCACACATTCCTTGGCCCCGGGGCACCCCTTTCTCCTGCCCCTCCGACTTCCGCCTCTCAGGTCTCAGCTAGCCTGATGCCTCCTCCAGGCAGCCTGCCCTGGTTACTCCCTCCCACCCCACAGGGGCCCTGGGCTCTGCTCCGGCTGCACCGGGCTACACACGTCACAAATACCCGGTTTCACCCTGACCTCCTCCCTGGGCCTCCCCCTCCTCCCTCTAGACTCAGTTCCTCACTGGGGGGTCCCGGCACCCACTCTCCTGCTCGTCAGGGGCAGTGAGGGCACCGCCCGCTGGCGCGGTGTTTATGGAGGGCGAGTCGGGCCTGAGCCCGGCTGGCAGCAGAGCCTCGGAGGCACCCGCGGTTGTGCAATGGCTGCCGTCACCATGCGTTCCGCTTCCTGGGAGCCAGCCCGCAGGACGGCGGCCTAACGGGCCTGGGTGCCGGGAGCCCGGCTGGGGCCCCGGCCGGCCCACAGGGTGAGCCTGGGGCCACGCGGACCTACAGGCCTCGGCTCCTGGTGGGAGACACTGGGCAGCCACCTCGGGCACCGGGGCCTTAGAGCGGGTGGCGGGGTGGCAGAGGGGCGCTCAGAGCTCCCCCCTGTGTCTGGGCGGAAGGCGCCTGGCCCCGCGGAAACCCAGGCGCAGGAGCTGGGCCTCGGGACCCCCTCTGGGCTGGTGCCCCCTCCCCCCTCTGCCTCTGAACGGCCCAGCCTTGGGCGAGTCACCCACCTCTCCGCCTCAGCTTCCCGTCACCAGGCGGGGACGTGAGCGCCCGCTGTCCTCCTGGGAGCCGGGCCCAGTGAGGCCGCAGTGCCCCTCTGCCCCTGGGCCGCTGCCACTCAGACCTCAGCAGGCAGCGGAGGGCACCGCCCGCCCCCCTGCCTCCGGCCCTCTGCGCTCTCAGCGGCTCCCCAGAAGCCACAACAATGTAAGGCGCGCACCGCCCCGGGCCCTGGAGTGGCACTCCCAGGCGAGGGGCTGTGAGCCAGGGCAGGGCGGGAGCTCTGCGGGGGGCAGGGGCGGGGTGGGAGGGTGGGAATCTGGATGGAACCTTCCAGCAGCCTCTCCTGGCAACACTGAGGCAAACTCACCCCACATTGCCCCCGCCGGCTGGTCACGCTGGACGGAGGTCCCCCGGGCTGCCGGCCGGGGAGCAGGAGCCGGGCACAACCCCCGCATGCCGAGGAGCCAGGGCTGCCTTCCGCGGGGTCTGGGGGGACCCTGGGCCTGTGACCTCACAAAGGACCCACAGATGACAGGGTTCCCCAAGCCCACCCCCGTCCTGGGCGCACAGAGCAGCCTGAGTGCCTGGGAGGCAGGCTCCGCCTGGCGTTTGGCTCAGCGGACAGAGTGTGGGCCTGCGGAGGGTCCAGGTTCGATTCCGGTCAAGGGCGTACCCCTCGGAGGCAGACTCAATCCCTGGCCCTGGTCCAGGCCTGTGCGGGAGGCGACCGATCAATGTGCCTCTCTCACATGCTTGTTTCTCTGTCTCCCTCCCTCCCGCTCTCTCTAAAATCAATGGGAAAATACCCTCGGGTGAGGATTCAAGAGTCAGGTTCCATCGCCTACCCCTGAGTGACTCATTTAACCAGGCCCGCTGGGAGGGCCCCCCATTGCTCCCCCTGCCTGAGGCCCCAGCCCCACCGAGGCCGGGCGGGGGCAGGGCGGCCTGTCCCTGGGGGACGGGGCACCTCGGGGGCCTCAGCTGCAGGTGGCAGAGGGCGTGGTCCCAGCCGGGTGGGAAGGCCTGTTGTCTGCATCCTGCTGCCTTGGCCTCTGGCCCCTCGCCCGCCGCTCCTGACGATCCCCCCTCTGCTTCGCCTTCTCACCACTTCTGAGGCCCCGGGGCCGGAGGCCAGGCTCTGGGGGCACAGACCGCACGGCGGGCTGAGGGGCCACGCTCTCATCTGTTCCTGTCCCGGACCTGCTGCTTCTGGCTGGGGGGAGGGGGTCAGGAGTCGCTAAACCGCTGGGCGGTGATGAGGGACAGGCCCGTTCCCTGGCCTGGGACCTGGGGAGGACGGAGCAGGTCCCCTCCAGGCCACAGGCCTGGGATTCCTCTAATAAGAATAACCAGGTGGCCCTAACCGGCGTGGCTCAGTGGATAGAGCGTCGGCCTGCAGACTGAAGGGTGCCGGGTTCGATTCCGGTCAAGGGCTTGTACCTTGGTTGCGGGCACATCCCCAGGAGGGAGTGTGCAGGAGGCAGCTGATCGATGTTTCTCTCTCATCAATGTTTCTAGCTCTGCCTAAACTGGTTTGGCTCAGTGGTAGAGCGTCGGTCTGTGGACTGAAAGGTCCCAGGTTCGATTCCTGTCAAGGGCATGTACCTTGGTTGCGGGCACATACCCGGTAGGGGGTGTGCAAGAGGCAGCTGGTCGATGTTTCTCTCTCATCGACGTTTCTAGCTCTCTCTCCCTCTCCCTTCCTCTCTGTAAAAAGAAAAGGAAAGGAAAGAAAAGAAAAGAATAGAGATAACAGGTGCTCACCGTGCCAAGCTCTGTGCCAGCCTGGGTGTAGCTAGGGCCCGGGGCCCCTAAAGAAAGCTGGGGCCCAGAAAAGGCATGTGGGCTTGAGGAGGGGGGTGGAGGGGGTGAGACCCAGGTCCGCTGGCTCCAAGGCCCCATCGCAAACCTCCTGCTAGGAGACCTCTGGCAGGGGCACGGCCTCTCGGCTCGCCTGCAAGGGGTTCAGCCGGAGGCCCGGGCGGGGCAGGAAGCGGAGCTGGGGAGGGTGACTGAGGTGAGCGGGGCGGCTGGGGACCCTCTCAGCGGCCAGACGTGGAGGTCACGGACCAGCCTGGAAGCTCCCGATTCCGATCTGATCTTAACCTGGATTTCCACGGGGTCCCTGAGGCTCTGGGTGGCTGCCCCTCCCTACCCGGAGGGCCGTGGGGTGTGGGGACCACCCCAGCCCCTCAGTGACCAGTTCCTCCTGCTTCGCCCAGGAAGCGCAGTGCGTGCTATTGCCAAATGCATGGCCTGACCCCCCACCCGGGGGCCCGGCTCCCGCACAGGATGTGTGACCCCAGAGAGAGGAAGGTGGAGGCCCCGCTCAGACAAAACGGGGGGCTGCTGCTGGCCGGCCCCAGGCCCCCTCCCCACTCGGATCTCTCCTCGGCCCCTCCCCTCCCCTTAGATGTCAGTGAAGGGAAGTCCCTCCCTCCTTCCCCTTCTCCCCAGCCGCCTGGAGTCCGGAGACAAAGCCGGTCTGTGCAGAGGCCGGAGCGGCCTGCCGCTGGGCTGCCGGCACGGAGCCTGAGCCAGCCCCGAGCCAGGCCCCTGGCCCGCTGCCCGCTGCTCTCCCCGGCCTCCCAGACACGGTACCTGAGTCTGCCCGGCTGTCCTTCCTCCGGCGCCCTGCTCTGTGGCCGCCTGGTTACGAAATGGCCAAGGCTGGGCCTGCCCTGGGCGGGGCCGCCTGGCCTGGAGCCTGGGCTGAGGTTCACGGCCACCTCCCTCCCTGCCCGCTGAGGGATGTGACCCCTGCTGGACCCGAGCTAGATCCCAATCCGGGTGGAACAGGGACTTCCGCCCCCAAGTCCCCGCAGAGACTCCTATCCGCCCTCCGGGCGAGGGTTCCAGCCCGGCCCTGCCCTTCCCCAGGCAGCACGCCGGCTTCTCCCCATCCTTCCCGGCCCGTCTTACGTAATCCCGGGCGCCTCCTAGGAATCCACGCCACCGTGCCCTGCCCAAGCGGCCTCCCTGGTGGGTCTCCTGTGGACCCGTGAGCTATTGACGGGCTGCCAGCCTCCTAGCTGGCCTCTCAGCCCCGGGGAGCTCTGAGCGGAGGGATCAGCCCCGGGCCCCATGGCAGGGATCAGCCCTGTGGCAGGGACCGGGTGGCAGGGACGGGGTGGCAGGGACGGGGTGGCAGGGATCGGGTGTCAGGGACTGGCCCGGTGGCAGGGACCGGGTGGCAGGGACGGGGTGGCAGGGACGGGGTGGTAGGGACCGGGTGGCAGGGACCCGGTGGCAGGGACAGGGTGGCAGGGACCGGCCCGGTGGCAGGGACCGGGTGGCAGGGACCGGGTGGCAGGGACCCGGGTGGCAGGGACGGGGTGGCAGGGACCGAGTGGCAGGGACCAGCCTGGTGGCAGGGACCGGGTGGCAGGGACGGGGTGGCAGGGACGGGGTGGTAGGGACCGGGTGGCAGGGACCCGGTGGCAGGGACCGGGTGGCAGGGACCGGCCCGTGGCAGGGACCGGGTGGCAGGGACCGGGTGGCAGGGACCGGGTGGCAGGGACGGGGTGGCAGGGACGGGGTGGTAGGGACCGGGTGGCAGGGACCCGGTGGCAGGGACAGGGTGGCAGGGACCGGCCCGGTGGCAGGGACCGGGTGGCAGGGACCGGGTGGCAGGGACGGGGTGGCAGGGACGGGGTGGCAGGGACCGAGTGGCAGGGACCAGCCTGGTGGCAGGGACCGGGTGGCAGGGACGGGGTGGCAGGGACCCGGTGGCAGGGACCGGGTGGCAGGGACCCGGTGGCAGGGACAGGGTGGCAGGGACCGGCCCGGTGGCAGGGACCGGGTGGCAGGGACCGGGTGGCAGGGACCGGGTGGCAGGGACGGGGTGGCAGGGACCGAGTGGCAGGGACCAGCCTGGTGGCAGGGACCGGGTGGCAGGGACGGGGTGGCAGGGACGGGGTGGTAGGGACCGGGTGGCAGGGACCCGGTGGCAGGGACAGGGTGGCAGGGACCGGCCCGGTGGCAGGGACCGGGTGGCAGGGACCCGGTGGCAGGGACCGGGTGGCAGGGACCAGCCTGGTGGCAGGGACCGGGTGGCAGGGACCCGGTGGCAGGGACCGGGTGGCAGGGACCAGCCTGGTGGCAGGGACCGGGTGGCAGGGACCGGGTGGCAGGGACCGGGTGTCAGGGACTGGCCCGGTGGCAGGGACCGGGTGGCAGGGACGGGGTGGCAGGGACCGGGTGGCAGGGACCAGCCTGGTAGCAGGGACCGGGTGGCAGGGACCGGGTGGCAGGGACCAGCCTGGTGGCAGGGACCCGGTGGCAGGGACAGGGTGGCAGGGACCGGCCCGGTGGCAGGGACGGGGTGGCAGGGACCGGGTGGCAGGGACCAGCCTGGTGGCAGGGACCGGGTGGCAGGGACCGGGTGGCAGGGACCAGCCTGGTGGCAGGGACCGGGTGGCAGGGACCCGGGCCCACCGGAGCAGGAGGAGGGGCTGGCGGTGGCTCGGAGTGATGCTGTGGGTGGGCCCAGGGCCAGGAAGAGGAAGGAAGACCCGCCTCCCCCACCCGCCTGCTCACCTGCTCTCCCGTCTGCCAGAGGGAGAGGCGGACCCGGAGATGGCCGGAGGCCAGGAGCACAGGCTCCGCCACGTCCTCCGTGTCTGTCAGCGCCCTCCGCCCCTGTCTAGCCCGACATTCCACACGGAGGGGGTGGGCACCAGAGAGGAGGTGGGACGGGACCCCCCATCCGGGGAGCGTGTTGCTGCGAGCAGGCCACGTCCATCCCTCGCTGTGCCCTCCCCGCCGGGAAGCCCCGCCTCTGCCCTCAGGGCGGCTGCGGTGCCAGTGTCACCATGGTGGCTCCTGAGCTCCGCTCCTCGGCCCCTGCCCTTCGCCCTGCCCCGGCCCCCGCCCCCTCCCGAGGGAGCACCCGAGCGGTGATTCCCCAGCCGCTGCTGTCAGACAGGCGGCAGCTGGTGGCAGGTGTGGGGGCAGGAGCACCCTCTGTGCCATCACCTGTGCCAGCTCCGGGACCCGCGGCCACAGTCCCGTGCCTCTCGCCTCGGGGCCCTGGATCCACACCCGCTCTGGGGCCTCTGGAGGCCTCAGCCACTGGGGACCGGTCAGGGCCGCAGAGGCCCCCGACCTCCGTGAGGAGCGGAGCCCCAGCCGCTGCCTGTCAGCTGGCCAGCATGTGCCGCCCAGCCCTGCTGCCTGGAGCCGAGCCAGGCAGAGGCGGAGGCAGAGGCAGGGGCAGGGGCAGGGGCAGGGGCAGGGGCAGGGGCGGAGGTGGAGGTGGAGGTGGAGGCAGAGGCAGGGGCAGGGGCAGGGGCAGGGGCGGAGGCAGGGGCAGGGGCAGGGGCAGGGGCAGAGGCGGAGGCAGAGGCAGGGGCAGGGGCAGGGGCGGAGGTGGAGGCAGGGGCAGGGGCAGGGGCAGGGGCAGGGGCAGGGGCGGGGGCGGAGGCAGGGGCAGGGGCAGGGGCAGGGGCAGAGGCAGGGGCAGGGGCAGGGGCAGGGGCAGGGGCAGAGGTGGAGGTGGAGGCAGGGGCAGGGGCAGGGGCAGAGCTGGCTCCAGGTGAGGCTGGGCTAGGGCTGAGCCTGGCAGCCGTTGGCTCGGAATCAGGCTCAGAGAGGGGCAGCCACAGGTCTGAGGCCACACAGCAAACCAGGGACCAGCTGGGGAGTACTGGTGAGGAGGAGGGGTGTTCCCGGATCTTGAGGGGCCCCTCCCTAGCCAGGGGTCTCCTTCTGCAGGGGCCACTCCTGAACTTGTCATGAATTCGGGGACAAAGAGGCCTGGCCTGGGGCAGGGGTCCTGGCTGGGGCGGCAGTGCGGCCCCCAGCCTGAGGGGCGCTGTTCTAGGGGAGGAGGGGGGCCGGTCCCCCCCGCCCCCCAGGTTCGATGCCTCTGTTTCAGCTGAGACAGCAGCTCAGAGGGGAGTAGGGACCAGGCCAGGGCCATGGCGAGAGGGCTCGCCCCCCAGACCAGACTCGCTGGCCCTCGTTTAGGCTGGGTGGGAGGTCACCCTACTCCTGGGAGCCCCTGAGCTGGGCATGTGGGTGCGGGCGCTGGGCAGGGTCTGTGGCACAGCTCGGCCCGTGAGGACCATGTCCCCCGGCGTCCGTGTCAGAGCGGCAGAGGCGCCGCGGGGCGGGAGGCCTGTCGGCGAGCGCGCAGTGGGCCCGCGGCTCCTGGTTGGGAGGCGATGCCGGGGTGACGTCCAGGAGCTGCTGTTTCAAGGGGTTCGGATCGCGAGCAGCACTTGTCTCTCCTGGAGGTGCTCTGCGAGGACAGCCCTAGCGGCATAACGAGAACAAAGAATAAAACCGACGGCAGAGGAGGCAGTGAGGGGGAGTGGCTGCCCCTTCCGGGTGTGGCAGGGAGTTCGCAGCCTGGGGGGCGGGAGGAGCCTGCCCCTCCGTCCGGTCTGGGTCCCGGCCACAGCGCTGTGCTTGTCTGGATCCCCCGGCCGTGCACAGGCCGGCCGAGGGTGGAGGCTGAAGGGGAGGAGAGCGGTGTCATCAGCCTCCGGAGGGTCGGGCACCCAGGGCCGGTCTGTGGGTGCTGGGACCCTGGAGGAGCCACGCCATGCCCACGTGCCTCCGGGAGAAACCCCGTGGATCTCAGGCCCGCCTTCCACCAGCGCCTCCCACTGGCCGGATCCAACCGGGAGCCCGTTGCTCCAGTCTTTGAAGGCTCCTCCGGTCTCAGGAGCAGTTTGCCGGTCGCATGTGGTCCTGTGTGTTCTCACTAAGGGACAGCGTTCTGAGCATCGCAGGGTTTGGGAGCCGAGGGGCTGCCTTCCAGAACCACCTGCTGAGCACTGACAGATGAAACGCCCCCTCCCTCCTTGGGACTCCATGTTGGTCTTCTTTCTGGCAGTGTGTGTGTGTGTGTGTGCGTGCGTGTGTGTGTACATACTTTTCCCCCCATAAAGTTAGAACAGTATCATTAACCATTGTGCCATAATGTCAGGTTTTGTAACAAGCTACTGGGAAAATGTTCTGAAGTAAATCAATTCTAATAAAGAAATTTAAGCCAAGATCGGTTTGGCTCAATGGATAGATCGTCGACTTGGGGACTGAAGGGTCCTGGGTTCGATTCCGGTCAAGGGCATGGACCTTGGTTGCGGGCATATCCCCAGTGGGGGGTGTGCAAGAGGCAGCTGATCGATGACTCTCTCTCATCGATGTTTCTAACTCTCTATCTCTCTCCCTTCCTCTCTGTACAAAATCAATAAAATATATTTTTTTTTAAAGAAAGAAATTTAATACTAAATGTTACCAACAGACCATAGGAAGGCACATGTAACAAGGACTTAAGGTTAAATTCTCAGCAGTAGCCCTAGCTGGTGTGGCTCAGTATGGAGTCCTGAGCCAGCCCAGCAGCCAGGGGGCTGGGGAACTGACGGGTCCCAGGTTTGATTCCAGCCAAGGGCACAGGCCTGGGTTGCAGGCTCCATCCCCAGTGGGGGGTGTGCAGGAGGCAGCCAATCCATGATTCTCTCTCACCGTTGATGTTTCTCTCTCCCTCTCCCTTCCTCTTTGAAATCAATAAAAATATTTTATTTTTAAAAAGTAAATCCTCAGCTGTCGAGTAACCTTTGTCAGGCAGGGCCTGTGAGACGGAGAGAAACCGTGCGGCTCCCCATGGGCCTGGGAGACAGGGACACCTTGGCACTGGCAGGCCTTCCACGAGGCAAACATGGCGCCCCTCCCACCTTCTCTTTGCTTTCTGGTTGTTCCTTAAACACTGATTCCTCTCCTCTGGGGAGGAAGACGCAAAACCTCCTTCTGGGGGAGATCCAAAGCCAATGAAGTCAACAAGCCTGTCCCTCTCCCCCTGATCAGACACGCCCCCAGGGACCTTCCCCTCCCCGTACAGCACCCCCTGGGTGACCCCCCCAGGGTGACCCACGCCTGGAGCT